CATGGGCGCCTCCAGCGGATGGTTGGGGTGCGATTCACAACAGATGGTATGACAGCCGACGTTTTGGAAGTCTGAATGTACAAATATCTCGCTGATGCGACTGTCCCTTCCGGTAAGTGTTCTACTTGAGTTGCGAGTGCTTCCTTTGCCTGGCGGTATTGAAGTGGCATGCGTCTAACTTCAGACCACATCATTTTCTGTAATGCTGCGTAAATGTCCTCTGGGCGCAAAATTGTTGCAATTGCTGAAGACTGATATAAGGCTTCACACTTCAAAACGTGATTAATTAGACTCAGGCCTCCGTCTTGCAAGGAAAGATAAAGTTGCGGCCTAGATAATTAAAATATATAAGATTTCCAGAACATGCGACCAAGAATCTGTAGTATTTGTGCACTTTGTTGACGTGGTAGTGGGAATATATGTGATACGTGCCACAGCTTCGCAAGTGAGAATACATTTATTAAAGTAACCCTCCGTATAATATTTGTACGACGATAATTCATTTCTATTTGACGAGCACGGAGTTTATTTATTGTCATGTTCCAATTATAATGTAACATATGAGTGGCGTCTGCGTGGAAGTATATGCCCAATATTTTCACAGTTTCGGCCCTCCGAAAGGGAAAAACGTCGTCAAATGGCTCGCTGGTCGCGCTGAGCTCCAGTACGGCAGTTTTGTTAGCATTCGCTCGCAGATTAGAGACACTGCGAAAAAGGTCCAGGCATTCTGCCGTCTCTGTAATTTCCTGCTCTGAACGAACGACACATGTGATGTCATCAGCAAATGCATTTAATTTAAAGGACAGGTTCGCTACAGGGAATCCTTGCAAGCGAGCACTGAGCATTCTGCACAGAGGTTCAATGGCGATAGTAAATAAAATCATGGATAGCGGGCATCCTTGTCGAACTGAACTCTCGAGCTTAATTGGTGGGGTACGGAATCCGTTAACCAACACCGTGACCAAATTCCGGTACACACCATCCGCACCCACTGTACTGCATTGGCTGGAAAATCGAAATGATGCATAACATGAAGTAAAAATTTATGATCGACTCTATAGAATGCCTTATCCATATCAATACTCAAGATGGCTATTTTACTGTGTTGTATTGACGAAAGTAATTGAATGTCCCTTAGGGCAAGCACACCTTGTAAAATGGAACGTCCTGGAATAGTACATGTCTGGCTAGGACCAATAATATTTGACAATCTCTTGGTTAATCGGGTCGCACAAAACCGAGCAATTATTTTATAATCGGCACATAAAAGTGTAAATGGCCTATAATCCGCGGGTTTAAGTGAACGGATATTTTGGGTATAAGAACAATGATCTCTTCTTTATGAGACTTGCATACCTCCCCTCTTTAAAGCACATCGCGAACAACTTCGCAGAGGTCTGTACCAATCATATCCCAATAAGTTTTGTAAAATTCGCATTGAATACCGTCAATACCAGGAGATTTTTTGATGGCAATTGCTGTATTATTGTATTAACTTCCGCATCTAAACATGGCGCCTCCATGCCCGTCTTGCTGTCACAGCTAACTCTGTTTTCACAATCCTCTAAAACAGATAGATGCAGAGCAGTAACTGCAAAGTGTTTGCACTATTTCCGGCCGGTCCCAATAATAGCGCCATCACTGTCAGTAAGCTGGTTGATAACCTTGCGTCGTATTTGCTGTTGTTCCTTAATGAACTAAACATTCTAAATTTCTCTTCTGCGAATAGACTTTTATCATTTATCATAATATGACGATTTTTAAACTGTTCACTCAATAAATGCATAAGCTTCTGTTTCGTGTCTCTAATACGTGGAGTTACGTGTGCACCATTGTTTGCCTGCAGGTGAAGTGTGTGTAGCATACGTTCGTAGAATACACGTGTTCCCCTACGTTCTTCTGCCAGTCGGTAGGCATGCCTTTTAAAGAACCTCATGACGTTCGGTTTTACACTCACATTCCACGACATCGCCACAGAGGGGAACTGGTATTTCTTGCTATGCCAAAGTACCCAATTAGCTAGGAAGTCCTCTTTTACTGCTGAGCTGTCTAATAAAGACGTATTTAGACGCCATGTCCCTCTGCCAAACCGTGTTACATTCGCAAACTTTTCATACGTAAATATCACTGCAGAGTGATCGCTGAAAGCTACCGGAAGAACGTCATGCCGATGCACCTTATGTATATGTTGTTTTTTTCACGTAGAATCGGTTAATCCTAGACCGACTCTGTGAAGTCACATAGGTGTAATGAATTCCTTGGAAGTTAGATGCAACTCCACACAAGTCTAAGCGAGTTATTCAAGTAGATAGGGCAGCATTAGTAGGATAAATGCCACCCTGATGATCATGGGGGTGAACTATGCAGTTGAAATCTCCACCGACTATTAACTGATTACAGGGTGGATGAAAAAATGGAATCAAATCCACGGAGAAAAACTGATTTCTTTCATATCTCGCTTGGCAGCCGGAGGGAGCATAAACATTGACTAGCGACACATCGTTTATTCGTCCTGACATCACTCGGCCTGACGGGTGGTAGCGCATGTCTTCAAGTTCCAGCCCCGCACGTGTAATAATCGCTGTCCCCCGTCCTCGATCACCAACGTTTGTATACAGATTGAAGGTATGAAACCCTATAAAATCTTGAATCGCTACTTCTTGCTAGAATGCAATGTCAACTGCCTGTATTCGGATCAGTGTCTAGCGCCGCCAATCGTGCACTGGCCGAGATGCACAAATACTTAAAGTTAAAATTGTCAATAACTCTATCATGTGTACCTAATAAATGTATTGATAGTATCAGAGAGAAGGAAATGGAAAGGTGGACAAAAAGGAAAAGTGGACAAAGAAAAATGGAGGCCGGTAATAGGGAACACAGGTGGGACTGCACACATGTGCCGGTCGCATTGTTAGTTAGTTGGGTTATCAGGACGTTCTTGGCTAGAGGCACACATTTTATTTATAACGGCCTTTACTAGTTCCAAAGATTCCTTCCTGTCTTGTAGCTGTGATTGTTCACTCTGCGATAACACCTTCGCTGTGCGAACAGGACTTACTCTCGCGTTCGTAAGGTCGCTTTTCTCTTACGGACATATTTTCATCCGCAGTTGTTACATGCTCCCGTCGTGTGGTTGCATTGTTTACGCTCTCCACGTCCATGCTGTCCACCCATGAAGCAGAGGACAATGGAATGTGTAGCGGCGAGACATCCTTTGTGTTGGTGGTAGCCCTGGGCGAGCAGTAACAGTATTTTGAGCCGCCTCCACGTGTATCTGGCGTGGCGCGGTCGCTAAGGTGTTGAGGTTTACCGCATGCTCAGTAGATGAGTCACCGACAGGTGTTTGCACCGTACCTTGCTGCTCGTGCGTGTGTGTATTGGAGGGTAACCGCCGCTCGGGCAGAGTGCTGGGCAGGGGTGGACAGTATAGGCGTTCAGCTGCGAGGTTTTCCGTTGCCCTATACATCCCCCAGCGGCGTATTTCACGGCGTCCTTTTCTTGCAAACTAGGACACGCAATTCGTTCCTGAGTAGGAGACTGGCAGTAACTGCACGTTCGTGGTTGCCCGGGATATATCATTACAGCCCGAAAGCCGTCACTGAAACGTAAGATGGAATGTCTTTTTTTTTATTTCCATCTTTGCCATGCGTACTCACGTTTTTACTTGGAATTTGTATTTATGATTCCATACTTCACCTTGTAATGTAACAAGTCGACCATACTTCACTAACTCCGTGTGAATTTTTTGGTTGTATGTTTCTATAGGTAAATTTAGAATTCTTACCAGTTTTAAGTTATCGAAGGCTTGTTCGATGGCGACGATGACCCTTTTTCTGGTCTGCGGTGACTAAAGTTGACTGGCCGTTGGTGCGACGCGGTATCGCTTCACAAGGTCCAGAGGAAACAAGTTTTAAAAACGAACAGTTCTGGTGCCCATCCAGTTTAATAGCTTCAATTTGATCTTCTGTTACAGTTAAAACCGTATCAATCCATTCATGTATTTCCATGGCCGAAAGTCGTTTGGCAAACACGATACGCTAGGTATTCACGCGCATATTAGACATGTTGGACAACCCTAGACGTGACTAACACTTACATACTACTACTACTCGCGTCGGAACAGAGCCCCGTTTAAAAACGCGGGGCGACAGAACTCCGGACACCGGACGCCATGTACTCCGCAACTGCTCGGCCACGACTAGCTAACGGGCCAGTTGCGTGCGATGTGTTAAAGTTTATATAATTTACTCAGAAATTATCATGATTAAAAGAAGGGAAACTTTATACAATTTTGATTATTGAACCTCTGATCGAGAATGAAGAATTGTACAGCCAGGTATTATTAATGAATTGACACTGTCTACGTACTTAGACAAGGGACTGACAAATATCGGTCATGTTAAGGCGTGATCTCAATTTAAAGAATACTCTTTCGAGAGAGCACAATTTTTCTCACAACCTGGCGAGAGCACTGCTTCGCGCTCTCTCGCGCTCTCGCTGTGTGGAATTGAGACAACCTCTCTCTCGCTTCTCTCCGACGTCATGCAGACAGCCGATGTAAAAAGGCGTAAACATGTTAACCTAAAATCGGGAACGTGGCTATTGTAAATAATATATATGTGTTAAAAATAATTCACAAATAATTATAATACTACCAGAATAATTATTAACGCATAAAATACTATTATATTTGTTTTATATATTACCGTCATGTCACAGCAAAATGAAAAAAAAAACGATACTTGTCAGAAATCCATATTTATATTTTTTTTAGAGGTACGCTACTATAACCTTATTCAAACACGGAAGTAGTGTAAACAAATATGGCGCGTTGTCAGACAGCGAGTACAGTATACGACTTCGTGCTCCCCCTTTCCGACGAATTGAAACGTCATAATGACGTGGTCGAGAGAGAGTGCCGAGAGTGACCAACTGATACACGGCCTAGGATTAAATTTTATTTCCTCCACTACTTTACTAATTACATATATTAAAATTATCGCTGCGGACAGGATTCGAAACCCGTGCGGGCAATAAACCATTGGATTTAAGCCCAACTCCTTAACCGCTCGGACACACGCAGCCAACTGGTGGAGTAAAGCCAACTGTCAGTATATCACTGTACTATCTAGGGCAGACGCTAGATGTCAGGTCACGCGTAAAGTTGAGAACGTGTGCAGCAACGAGAAAGACACGCACATTTCAAGTTAACTTGCGTTTAATTATATAGGGCTGTTCACGGTAAAATGAGCACCTTTGAAAGCCCTGCTTAAGATCTACTTGTATGCACGTTATGTATTCTTCCGCCGTACGTAAAATTAACATTGCCACAGCCTCGTCACTTTATTTATGCGTCGGTCCAGTAAAACCGTGAGATTTTTAGGAAAGTAAATATTACACAAATCTGCTCATTTTCACACACCGATGCATTAAAGAAAAAAAAAACAGAAAGCGTAATCAATAATTTAACTTATCACAAATGGTTACCTTACAAGTTTAATTCTAAGTTAAGATATGGAACTATTTTCCATACATCGTTACCAATTTTACTGGGCAAATGCCACTCAGTGCGCCCATTTAAATAAATGCGTTCAGGGGCATGTGGCGTTTTTCTAAGATTAATTTCAAAAGTGCTCACTTTATCGTGAACAGCCTTTAAGAAAAGTAACAATTGTTAGTGTTGGCATACAGTCGTAAGCACTGTTTCAATACTTACTTACATTTATTAAATCACATTATTCAACTTCTTTTACTACGCTCAAGACTCACATTTTCAGATATAAAATAAAACACAATTATAAAATTTTTATAGAGATCGAAATTCTTTTACTACCGAAATCACTATTTTAATACACCTCCTGGATTTTGTACCTTTGTTACGCCATTAAATTCTGTAATGCCCGCACGATTTCTAAACTTGTGAAATTTGATTTTATTCAATGGCTTACTTGAAATAGGTATCAGCTAACTGATCACCAGTGGAAATCTTTTGAACATTTATAAGGCCTTTTCTTTCATAATTCATTCACAAAATGATAACTAATATTAATGTGCTTGGAATCCTTGCAAAATTAGCTATTTTTAGATAAAGCAACAAGATCACTATTATCTTCATAAATTATCTCAGGTTTGTTCATTGTTATACCAACATCATTTAACATTCCTTGAATTTGGCAACACTTCCTTTACACGATCGTCAGGAGCGTAGCATTCAGTGTGCGTAGACGCTCTGGAAACGATCTTTTGTTTTTGAGATTCCCACGTTACAGCGTTTCCAAAATCATTTAATCAAAATCGCCGTGGTCGACTTTTTATCAACAATATCTGCTGCCCAGCCAGGCATCCACATAAGCGTCCATAATGTTATGGAAACTTGCAGTATAATTTAAACCTCATGGAGCGAGTATGGTATAAATACTTAAGTACACATAGTGCATACTTATAATGTGTATAGGTATAACTATTTTGAAAGCGACTTAGATAATATACAGGAAAATATATACCTGGTCGAGTACCGTTTGCAATGTATAATAAAGCCACGATCAAACTTCTGTTCATCAAATTATCATTCTCTTCATCAGCTGGTTCCACTTTTAAATTGGATTCCATGGATGCGTAAATTTTCTTCGAACCTTTAACATTACATTTTTTAGCAAGACTTTAATGTATTGTTCTTGACCTGAGTACATTCCCAAAGACTATTTCACTTTTCCTAAATCTTTAATGTATTGTTCTTGACCTGAGTACATTCCCAAAGACTATTTCACTTTTCCTAAATCTTTAATGTATTGTTCTTGACCTGAGTTCATTCCCAAAGACTATTTCACTTTTCCTAAATCTTTAATGTATTGTTCTTGACCTGAGTACATTCCCAAGACTATTTCACTTTTCCTAAATCTTAATGTATTGTTCTTGACCTGAGTACATTCCCAAAGACTATTTCACTTTTCCTAAATCTTTAATGTATTGTTCTTGACCTGAGTACATTCCCAAAGACTATTTCACTTTTCCTAAATCTTTAATGTATTGTTCTTGACCTGAGTACATTCCCAAAGACTATTTCACTTTTCCTAAATCTTTAATGTATTGTTCTTGACCTGAGTACATTCCCAAAGACTATTTCACTTTTCCTAAATCTTTAATGTATTATTCTTGACCTGAGTACATTCCCAAAGACTATTTCACTTTTCCTAAATCTTTAATGCGAAAGTGTCTGCTTAGTACTTATCTTATTTCCTGTATGTCAATAAGATCTCCGCAAATCAGTAAGTCACCGACATACAGGATTATGTACTTTTGTTAACATATACAAGCAGCTATCATAATTTGATGTTTTAAAACGTATATTTGTCATGAAATCATGAAAGCATTCATACCAATCGCATGGACTCTTTCTTAGTTGTATAGTGATTTTCGAAGTAGGCAGACCTTATTCGGGTTCACATCGTAACCATCAGGTGGATAAAAGTACACTTCAGATTTAATACTCCCGTTAAAAAAAAAAAGTGCTTTCACCTTCCGTCTATTTAATTTGCCAGCTCTTGATACATGCAATAGATAATATCATTTTTTATGTTATCATTTTGGCAACTGGTGATTATATTTCTTCATTTTCATTATATGTTTGTTGAAAACCGTGTTTCGCATTTCCCATTTGAGTTGGTTCTATAAATCCATTTTACTTCTCTTTATTTTTTTTTATCTGTTGGTTCATTAACGAACTCCCAGGTTTTGTTTTTCCATTAAACTATTAATCTCTTCATTAATTGCTTTTTGCCATTTTTTAGACTCTGAGCTGTTTAAAGCTTCTTCGTAACTAATAGGTACTGACGCATCTCTGAAGTTCACAAATACGACATGATCATCAAATCTCCTCGACAATTTTATTTCCCTCTGTGGAATGTCAATTCTTCTTACCTCCTTAATCTCAGCATTATTTTCTTCTTCAGCCTTTTCTTCATTCACTTTTTCCTTTGTCCCATCACTTCTTGTTTTGTTACTCTCCTTTTCAACATCAGTTAACATTTTGCTTCTTGATGTTTTTCTCAACAACCTTCACAGGCCGACTGAAAATGACTTCATTACAGTTTTTTTTTTTATTTTTCAATTTTGGTAGGTAAACCATTTAGTGCCTGTTTTCCACGCAATTATTTTATATTATTGAAAACTAGTAAGGCCAAGTTGAATTTTTGCCTTTAGATTGTTTCTGTTTCTCGGATATTTTCCTCTCCATGCCGTATTTTCTCTTTGATTATAATAGTGTTTCGTCCAGTTTTGTGTTCCGACAATTTCTTTGAGTATGACCTGGCTGATTACATCTATAACATATAATAGTTTTATTGCCGTAAATAAATCGGTTTTGTTTGGATCTATGTTGTCGATTTACATCCTTACATCCCTTGCTCTGTGCGAATTGAAAGTACGTTTCATCGCTACTTGATTCTCTTTTCTTGTTTCCATATAATTTTGAGTTGACATATTTAACTGACATTTCCTTTTCTGGTGATGCATCAATGATATTAACAATGTGTGAGAGGCTTACTGGCAATGATATTAAACATATAATTTAATTTGTCTTCCCTGTTTGCATCTCCACCTGCACGTTTCAACTGATTGCATAGTTTTTCAGGTGTATTAAAAAAATCTGAGGACTAAGAGTTTCCTTTATTATGAGCTCTAAAAGTTTTCTTTTGTGCAGTAACTTATTTGCACTACTTTTCGCACATACATTTCATCAAACTTTATTAACATATCCTTTGCAGTGGTTTCTGATCTTATTAGTTCTAGTTGAGGATTGTTATCTATGTAATTTTTAGCTTTAATTTCCATTTTAAACCGATGTTTTTTAAAGAGATACCCTGAGTCTTAATATAATGTATGATATCATAGCAATACTTCATTTCCAAAAACAACTTCATTCTGAACATCCATTTACTGTAGTTGGTTCTATCAAATGTTTGAAGAATGAAGTCATCTCTATTTTCCGCCATATAGTCTAGTTTCAGCTTGTATATTGCTTCACACGTAATAACCACGGATCTCTGCTACCATGTTGGAATTTTCTGTTTCTTAGAGTCATACCTCGTAGACATGCTTTCAAATGCGTACTTATATTTATTAAATCACATTTTCGCAACTTCTTTTGCTACATGCAAGACTCACATTTTCAGATATAATATAAAAAACAATGATAACATTTTCATAGAGAACGAATTCTCTTAGTACAGAAATCACTATTTTAACATTTAGCGCAAGTGTGGATTTGTTCGAGGCCTGAGAAATTCCCTATACAGTTAATTCAAACAATTTTCATTAAGGTTATAAAAGTTTAAATGTAAAGTAAAAATACCGTGTCTAAAATAGTTACACAAATTAAGTAACATCATTGGTTACATCTTTAAAAACAATTTTTTTTTTTTTTTGCGTTGCGTTGTTCCATTTATGCTAGAAAATCACAGACGTTTTATGAACATTGCAACTGCAAGGTTTGAAAGCATAAAAACTCGATATTTGTTAACATGTGTTGCTGTCGTATTTATTTGGTTGGGATATTGTCTAGACCAAATATTAATTAAATAAAGTAACTAACATGGTAATAATACCTGAATTATTAATTTCTCATATATGAAATCTCGAAATGATCTGTTACGCAGTAGCAACTCCTACAAAAATATTCTTATGTATGACTTACTTGTGATTAAACACGTGTCATTCGACGCGAATTGATGACCCAAGCAAATAAATATACAATGAATACGAAAGCATAACGAATGCAGAAAAGAATCGTAGCTTTGTACACTGACATAAGTCATGAGATAGCATGACTCGTGGCGCCACCGCTGCAAAACGACGTTGCACGGCGTAAACCGGCCTCAGTTATGAACAAGTGGTCGTGTCATTCGGATTGACTGTTGTGTACATGCTCATGGCAAGGCGACGTGAGTTATCGGAGTTCGAACGGGGCATGATAGTTGGTGCCTGAAGGATGGGACATTCAGTTCCAGAAGTTGCAGACATTTCCAATATTCTTCGATCCACGGCGTCACACGTGTACAGGGAATATCAAAATCAAGGCATTGCGATC